GTCCAGTTAATTACAGAGAACTGTCAGTAGGTTTCGAGATAATCCAGTATCCAAAATTAGGCAACTGTCCAATATTAGGCGACTTTCCTATACTAATATTTCGGACTAAATTAGTCCTTCATCAGAGTAGATAAACTGTAAGAACAATAACAAATTAACTTTACAAAGATGTAATTAATTTACTTACTGAGGTAACTACAAAGTCATCATAATGACGCTGGTTGAATGACCGCTCTGGTCCAAACCAAATAAACATAACCTCTTTCTCCAATTCGTTCCCAAAAAATTGAGATTAAATAACCGTTTTGACCCCGTAAGTACAAGAACTTGTTTAAGATGCAACGCTTTTAGCCACTGCCATTTCGATTAGTTTAGAAAATATACTCAAAAGATCACTCATTGTCTCAATAACTTCGTAACTTTTAACAGGTGTAAAAAAATGTGACAATTCTTGATGGAACAGCTCCCTAGCTCAAACCAAAAATCGCGCTTTTGGAAATGTCTTCAAAAAAATGGTAAGTGTAGGGGAAAAACGTGTCCCACGAAAGTTTATTGTTTTCCGTTGTAGAATAAGAATATTCAATAAAAATATTTCTATTTGAAAAAATTGAGTTGCTACAATGGACTTTTAAGGGACAGTTATGTGAAAATGTATATAAGATTATGAAACTTCGCACCTACCAGTTTCATAATCTTTTACACCCAAATTCGTCTCGCTTATGCAGTTACAGTCAAACCCCAATAAATCATCCCCTGAAACAAATACCTTATCTATTAAAAAATGCTTGCTTCAACAGAATTGTATATTCCATGTCTTTGTTATACTCGAACAAAAACGAAATTTACCCTTTTAGTAAGCACTTTATGCCTAATATACAGGTGGTTTTGAAATGAGTACACTTGTAATAAATAGCGGAAACATTCGAAAAAATTTGTGATGCAATGTTAAACATTTCCAAAGGTCAGTACTAGCTTTTCAATTTTTCAATGAGAAATGTCCATTTGCTTTAAAATAAAAACCCTAATTGTAAATTTTTTAATTGTCACTTTCATGTTGAATAAATTTATCCTTTTGTTAACAAATATATTTATTTACACGAATGGTTACCAATATTTTTCATGTTTTTACGCTTACAAGCTCAAATCTTCTCAAAGACAACACGCACAACAGTCGATAACGGCAGGAAAGCACAGGTACTCGTTGCAGTTATCTTTCGCATTACCATCAGCTGACGTCACATTCTCTTGCTGCCCTTTCGTCTTACTTTCATTTTTAAACATTTTGCTCACAAGATGCTTTGCATTAGAGTACTGGCTCGGACAGCAGGTTGGTTCCGGTTTAGCAAGGCAGGCCGGCGAGCCTTGGCATTGCGTTCTTCTGCAATCATCCTGCAAGCCGTTCTTCTTGCCACAATCGCAGCCGACGTACAAAATACCACCGAGAAGTTCCCTCGATTTGCACGTTACGACAACGTTCGGCTTGTTCAGAATTTCGGTCTGTTCGACGTTTTGCTTCACCTTATTTACTGGGGGCGTAGACTTGGTTTTGTAGCATACCTACGGACAGAAGTAATTTGTGTGCTCATCGGTTGAATCAAATACCATAACGTCAGGCGGCTGTTGTCTCGTCGGATCCACAGCTATGAGGCATTGTCGAAAGGCAGGGGTCGGTTTTTTGGAGCAATCTACCTTAACAATTTCGTCGACTACGCATTTTAGTTGGCGAACTAATTCTTGTCTTCGTTCACAGTCGTTTTGAGCTTGAGCCATTGTGCTTAACCAGAATTTTGAGAATGCCAAAGAGATTGGAAATTTTACTGTAATTTTGAATGCATAAATGCGAATGTCAAAATATGTTAGCAAACGGATGTTGTTTTGCGAAATGACTTGATCAATAAAAATTTTACATTTTTATGTACGTAAAGCGCGGTTTAGACGCTACGATAAATTGTAACAATTTATCGTAACGATCGAATCGTTAACGATTTATCGTTGCGTGTGAACAGAGGATTGTAGCGATTTATCGGAATTGGAATTGGATTGGATGGTTGATGGTGGCCGGCTTCAATTTCTGCGAATCGTAGCGATAAATTGGAACGTGTAAACAATAACAGCGATTTATCGCTACGATTTGTGATTAATGTTGCCGACGTGAACCATTTTTGTATCCATTTGGGCTACTTAGACTGTCTCTAGCGCACACGTTTTACATTTGGCGAGTGGCGATCAAGTTTGGCCACCCAAAAAAAATATTTAGCGACACATGGCTACTCATAAATCATAATCGAGATTAAGAGTCTATTGTAAGCAAGCAATGTAAGCAATAAAATGTGAGTATAATTTTATATTAGTGGACAGAACCAAAAGACAAGTTGAAAAGTAAAAAAAATCAAAACTGTATTAAACCGTGATCGACAATGAGATTGGAACAAGAAATCGTTACATGTAAACAGTACGCACTCTTTCGATTTATTGAACGATAAATTGGACAATCAGATCGTTACGATTTATAGAAGCCAAGATCGTAGCGTCTAAACCGCGCTTTATATTTATTATATGGTCACCTACACCGCCTGAGTCCAAACTGTCTCAATTGTAAGCAATCTTTTTACTGCGACGTGTTGAATAATAGATTTAAAGAGTTAGTAGTACATACTTACTTTAACTCTCATTTTCTGTATTTGATTCTCACTTTCCGTTTACGTTCACTGTTTCTTTTGCTACTTAATACCACCGCAAATGTTTATATTCCAGCTTAGTTTTTACTGCGTTTTCCTAAAGGGCAGTTATCCGTACATTCGTTCGTATTCGTAATTCCAGCTACGCCTTCAGGTTTGAAGATATCGAGGAGCGTTTTTTGCATTCAATTTTTCGAAGACAAATTAATGAAATGAAATTTTATCACAAATTCAGGATCCCGAAGATGAGCGGTGCTGCAAGGTTTCGCTACAATTGGCTGAGGCAACACAGTATAGAACCGGATTAAGCAACCGACCAAACCGTCCGGCATACGTACCGCTAAGAGAACAAGGTAGGTAACTCTGGCAAAGGGAAGATAACGTCCCGGTCCGACTATTCCACATCCGAGGCTGAACAGACAAGGAAGCAGCCGTGCAGGGAGACGACAGGCCCAAGTGAGAGTATCTAACGATGACCAACCCCCAACCACATAGCATGGGGCAGCACAGACACAAACAAGAGGGGTGAATTGCTAATTGAGTACATCGCAACTCAACCTCACTTGAAATAGAGAACAGGAGCAAAAATGCCACCTTTGCCAACAAAATTATATGAGGTGATATTATTCACTCAACTCCAAAAATTGGGGCAAACATAACCAACGGGAATGTATCAGACGAGACCTCACTTTCGGACCATAAGCATGCAAGGCTCGCGATAATGGCATCATACAGTCAATTACAATCAAGATCTCACCAATGACAGACTGGTGCTCCTATAGAGTATATGAGATCTGAAGTTGTCACCCAAACCAGAGGGTATACACAAAAGCTGGAAGTAGCCTCAAATGATCTACAAAGACTCTTACTTAGTAAAGAAATGTCCCACAAAAACTAAGGGGATAACGAGGAACGTTCCCTACTAGAGTGAGGAACTAGAAAAACATCGGCGCCTGGTAGAGGACAGTATTTTTCCTGTACTCCTACTCTTTCAAAAGGTTGTTGGGCACATACTGCAAATTATATGTAAATTCCTCAGAGCCAGATTCTGTGTAGCTTACATACCCAAAACGTGGCAGGAGGTAAATGTGGAGACTAGTCTGGGAGTGCATCTGCAATCTAAAGAAATTTGCAACTAGAAACCGCACTGTGGTGGGATGCCAGGGCATTCGGACACTGCAGACAACATGAAGGCAGATGAACTGACCAAAGAAGGAACTAGACGAAAGCCAATAGGGAATCCTTCTGTGGACTGCACAAAAGCCACATAACAGAAGCTCTAAACCAGTGCAACGAGATGAATAGGATCCATGTACTAGTAGAGGGTACCAGGACATCGACACTTTACGTTATTTAAGCTCACTTCAAGTTTTTGTATATATCCTCTACTGCTTCCCATCATTTCAATTTTACGAGTTTCGAATTCGTTTTATTCTTTCAGTTCTTCCAGATCCTCAACTTTTTCTAGAGCCTTTTGATTCTTCCATCTACTTCAATTCGTTCAATTCTTCGTGTTTTTCAAGTTTTGAAAGTTCCTCGTTTTTCGAACGATCTGCCAATTTTACGAGTTTCTCAAGTTCTTCCCTCGTTCTTCAAAGTCATCCGCTTTTCGAGTTCTTATGTTGCACGAGTTCTTAACAATTTTCAGAGCACTTCTAGTTCCGTCCCTTTTTGGCCAAGAAATATAGCTTGGACGTTTAAGCTCCTAAATCTTTAATTAGCTTTGTAGCTATGTGACGAATAAGGTTTTAAATTAAATTTTAAGATAAGTAATTAAAAAAGTGTTGGAAGAGCCTTCTTCTTAAATTAGGGCTTAGGGAATGTGCTGTCTTACTCCTTAGTTTTTTTACGGAAAAGCTTTACGTGGAACGTGGAATTATCGTGTGATATAAGAGCATGTTTTTGCTCTTCAACCAATTCTTCCGCATCGTCAAATCTGTTGAATAATTCGATTTCATCAAATTCTTCGAGTTCCACCTCGAGCTTTTCCGTAAAAAAAAGCTAAAGAGTAAGACTCCCTAAGCCCTAATTTAGGAAGAAGGCTCTTGCAACAATTTTTTAATTATCTCAATATTTCATTTAAAACCTTACTTGTTACATGGCTACAAGGCGAATTAAAAATTTAGGAGCTTAAGCTACAAGGGTTCTGAGTTCGAATCCCAGGTAAGGCATGGCTGTTTGTGATTGTACCTATAGTGGGTTAAGTGGGAAGAGTAGCAAATTGCCAACACTCCGCCCACTATAAAATAAAGGCAATAAAATAAAAAATAAAATAAAAATATACAGTGTGAACATTTTGTCTGGAACACTTGTTATATGTATCTTCAAAACAAGATTTTTTAAAGAAACCCTCTATGGTAACCAACATTATAACCAGTTTGCGACCAATCTACGTACTTTAAATTTGTAGCCAGTGGCATACTTCTGCATCATGAACATGAAGTAGCAAACGTATTATATTACATAATAAATTTAAGAGGAAAACTCAGATTAACGAAAATGTTGTCGTAAATTTTTTTTCTATTTCGGTGTCACAATGATGATTTTGTACAACTGTTTTCGGCCGAAAACAGTTGTACAAAGACAGTGATTATAGTCGTTTTTTTTTGGTAACTCATCTCTTAAGTTGGCAGTTACTAGTTAGTACAAGTAGTACTTCGTTGGGTACTTCCATGTTTGAACTTCAAAATGTCAGTCTTACTACGCTGCCAACCTAAAACTTAACGGCATAAAAAGTGTTCCCAACATAAAACATGTTAGTTCTAATGTTCCCTATATTTCTGATAATGATTTTTATAATTAAATTAAAGCACCGAAATAGAAAAAATAGTATGAAAAACGCGTGTTACAATGCTTTATTGTAATACTCCTATCTTGCGGACACTCGTGGCTACGATTCGCGTCGCCACTCGTGCCACAAGATAGTCGTATCTAGACCGAGAGCCCGCGTAGAAAATACATCGTCATGGGTACAAAAGGTTTGATGTAACCAAACAGTAGAATGTCACCGTGCGATTCCAAAATCGCCCGTCTGCCGGCCGGCGGCGGTCAACTTAGCGCGGGGGCGAATTTTGAAAACTGTTCCAAATCACATAATACATCGTCATTGGTACACGTATGATTTTTGGCAATCTGATCCGGAAATATGTACCCAATTCGTAGTTGCAACGGCAGACGATGTATCTGGGCAACTTTT